ATCAGAAACCTTCTCCTCTGCGATAGGATCCTGTTCTTGACACGCATCCAACCACCACGTAGCAGCCACCCGAGTAACCGGCACAGTGGAACACGACACGGGAAGGTCCGTCTGGCTGCCCGCTCCTCCGGAGGATTTGTGAATACCCAGGAGGGGAGGCACTGCCGCCAGCCCCAGCGTTGCGGAGCCACAGACACACGGACACGGAGCCACGGACACGGAGCCTGCAGCGCTGGCAGCTCTCTGCTTTCAAGCACTATCGCTTATGCACTCAGCGATGCATACAGGAAAATGCACCGCTTTCAGTTTGTTCTTGGCTATAGGAGGTCAGGAAAAACCCCCCAAAAAGTCAAGCATGGGAGAAGGAGAGCTGGTCCCACCACCACCCACAGAAACCATTTCATATAAATCTCCCCCTTTCTCCCCTTTATATGCCCAAAGTATGTTAAAAAGGCACCCTTTAAAATACTGCTGCAGGGATATTGACTTCTACACAAAGCAAGAGATGATGGAGGGAGGGGAATTCTCAGCAGAGAAATGGAGAGAAATGCAAACCCCCAACTTGCAGTTATGAACCCCTTAAATAATTCACACAACACTCCCCACCCTCCTATCCAAAACCAAGCACAAAGCTCAGTTTTCTGGCTCTCTGGCAGGAGGGTGGGGGGCGTGTCAGAGAGGGACGGGGGATGATGGCAGCTCTCCCCGCACCCCGTCCCGACGGTGGGATCTCTCGTTTCGCAGATTCTCCAACCACAGAGTGCTGGTGATGAAGCTGGGGACAAACCTACAACAGCACCCGGTGAGGCCAGCCTGGACCCCCCAGGGCTTTCCAAGAGTGCTCCACACTGGCTCATCAGCATGAGGAAGAGGATGCTTTTACACCAAACATTACTCCAAAGACTCCAGAGCTTTACAGAGGGCACCCATCACCATGACAGCACCAGCACACCCCTGCCTTGACAGCTCCCTGTCCTCTCCCACCACCAAGGTGGCTCTCGCTGCAGCATGCGGTGCCCAGGGCCGCCCTCCCCACCACACACCTCTCCTCCCCAGCGCTTTGGACACGCGAGATGAGCCACGTACAAGTCCTCCGTCAGCCACCCACGAGGCAGGCGTGCCAGGGAACCTTGGTGGATTCAAGTAAGGGAAGGGGAGGATTGATCCAGACCCCCCTCCTCCGAGCCCTCCTCGAGCCAGGACGTTGGTACAGTTCTCACCAACCGCTGGACCAGAACCAATGGAGTGAAAAACACTACTTTAATCTCAGTATCCCTGTCTCCTCGTTTTTCAGCTGACCTGTGAGCTGCTTCCCTTTTTCATTTTTAGAACAGCATCATTTTGCATCCATGGGTCAGGGCAGGAAAGGTCCCTGTCTCGCATAGAAGCATTTTCAAACAGTGTAGGAACTTCAGAAGAAAGTCAGGACAATTAAATACACGTCAGGAGAGCAGAGAGGAACAGGAGGCTAACAAATGGCATGCTCCACAGGTTTATGAATATTTAAGCTATATTTCTCAAAAAAAAAAAGTACATTGCTGCGAGTCATTGAAAATGAGTAACTCCCTTTAATGAACTTTGCTACCATCATGCTGACTAATAGAGTGAGAAAGAGTTTAATCTACTTTTATGTACATTTTATCTCATTATAGTTGGTGCCAATAAATTAGCAAGTCCAGTAAGAGTTACATTTTATACCATCGCTGCTATTAAATGTGCATGAAGTAGTGTGCAACAGCACAGCGTCCGGGAGCACCATCTTTTAATTTTACTCCTTTTTTAGGAGCCGGGCCGTACTAGCGAAGACTGCACAGCCCCCCTGCAGAGGACCCCAGCACTCACTCCTGTAAGATCAGCCCCTAACTAGGGACGAGGCGACATGAACAGGAGTTTTCTTCCTCGGATCACTGCATACCGCGCTGCTGCCGCGTCCTGCAGCAGAGACACAGCCACCGCGAGACCCTTCTGCAGAAGTCACCAGTGATTGCGGACAGCTTACGAGCTGCTTTAAAGGGACAAGAGTTAAAAAAAAACCCCAAACACAACACATTAAGAGCCAACTTGTAGAAAACAATATAACAAAATATTATTTGAAGGTGTCTTAAAGGGGCACAGCTAGAAACCTCTGTCACGAAACACAGCACGTCCCTTGCCACCGTGGGACCGCGTAACAACTGGACATGGGGAAAAAAATGGCTGTGAGCAATTTAAACCGGCCTTTCGACTCCCTTGGGTGACTGGGAAACACTGCAACCCAGATTACAAGAAACATGACGCATCCGCTTGGCAAAAGCCTGCGCTCGCCAATTACCCGACATCCCACCAAGGCGGAGATGGAGCTTTTCAGCTCCGCAGGGATTTCGGCCGGAGAAGCCCACATGGTTCATGATCCTGTTTCACCAGCTGTTATCCCAGTGACAGTAAGGAAGCGGTAACTTCCCAAGCTTAAGACTCTGTGAATTAGCAAGACCAGGGCTGAAAACCCACACTGCTGGGCTCGAGCAGCCCCAACCACGCTTGCTCCTTTGGAGGAGGCTCCATCACTCCCACAGCAGCTCCTCCTTGCTGAAGCCCTGGCTCAGAAGCCAAAGGGAGCTATGGAAAACTCTCTCAGAATAACGGCTGGTCAAGGCAAGACTGAGGGATTTGAATTTTCCTCCTCTTCTAAAGCACTAGTGCTGTTCATACACCAGGGAGCCCTGACGGACCCTGCAGATTCCAAAGGGCCAGCCCTTTACGTACACGTCGGCACCACATAAATGCAAGCCCCCGCCTTTCTACTCAGTAATTACACCACAGAAAACCCAAATGCTTTTAGTAATTGCCGTCTTGCTGGCCGCCTGGTTTGGAGGAGAGAAATAACTGCTTAAGTGGCATCCAGAAAGGAAACACCCAACGCCACTCCACCAAGGTTTCTGTGTAATTAAACGGCCGCCTGCTACCACGCTCCGCTCAGAAAAGTCTCCTGCACCGTGTAAGTGTCTTGTAACCAAAAAACACTATTGATCTGAAGAATAAATATCTCCAGGAAGAATTTTTTTGTTCAGGTCTGCGTTTGGCCAGTGGGAAGATGGATTAGAGAGTCTCGCTGTGACTCGGAGCAGAACAGCGCTTCGGCCAGCAGCAGATTTTTCCCTGTTTATTTGCTTTGCCCCTGTTAAACCCAGATCTGAGGATAATGTGGGAATGCAAGGGGGCAAAGACAGTGGGGATGTTTTGGCAGGCTTCCAGAGGGATTTAGGGTGGTGCAGACCTGAACAGCTGATCCCCCCACCTAACTGATTAAAAAAACTGCCCTCGGAAAAAGACCAGTGAGGTTTTTGTGTAGAGAATCTGTGCCTCCCATATCTTACAGGGTTGTTTGAGGATGACATTGCACATGAAAATAAGCAAGAGCCAGGCAAGAACGCACATTTGGATTTCTTGGAAGTTTATGACCAGTTTCTTTCCAAAGTCTCCTAAAAAACTAAACTATCAAGGGGTAAGAGGGAATGGCAAATCATCCCCCCTTCCTAAGTCACAAACCTGACTGGTCCCCCAAAAGAGTGAAGAGGAGGAGGGAATAGCTGTTCGCTAACCAGACCGAAAAGGAAACCAAACTCTGTTCAGCTGACATGTTCCAGCTGTGTTTAAGGCCAGGCTCTATTAACCGGTGTCTTAGGCAATTTGAAACAGCACAAAGCAAGAGACAACGCGACGATAAAGCAGCGTTTTAATTAGCAGTGGTTCTTTCCCCAGCCCAAAAGGTTCCTTCTGTGCATTCATATTCCCAGAACAACAAAAGCCTTCTTGTATTTCATAAATCAAAAAACTCATAAAACAAGCCCCTGCAATTGCACATTCCAGATAATGGTCCAGAAATAAATTAGGCAATAAATATCAAATAATATATCCCCATCAGCAGTGAAAATCTACTCTTTGGATAACCAGAAGAGAAGATGCCTTCCAGCAGCTTATGCCTGGTACCTCAAAATAGGTAAAACAATAGCGAGCTTTAATAAATCTTTTAACACCTTTTCCACTAAAGAATATAGCTTCCCTGAGCCCGGTATCCATCAGAGTAACAGCACAGCCCTGACGCTGTTCACGTCAAAAGCCAGGCTATCGGAATGACCGCCGCTTGTCAAAATCACCGAGGATTTTCCTCCCTCGCCGCTGGGTCTCGTTCAGCACACGGCACACAGGCAGCACCCAGGAACAGCGGGGAGAGAAAACCCCCAAACACATTTTTCAGAAACTCAGGGGACTCATTTCACCCTGGCATGAAGCTTCCCGACCCCGCTGCAAGCTCACCGATGGCAGTTTGGGTGAAGCTCTTTTGCTCGCAGCCAGGAGCACCCGGGGATGAAGGGTCCTTGCCGCACGGGTGGTACCAACCCGGGTCCTGGCTCGTCAGGACGTGTGACACTGCGGCAGGGCAACAGGGTTCAGCTCCTCGGGCTGGTTTATGCAGAGCAGGGATGATGCTCAGCACCGGTTTGAACGCGCTGTGCCTACGGGGAGCTCCCAGGCAAGGAGACGGTGCAGCTTTGCCCCAGCCACCGGTGAGGCAGCTGGAGCTGGGCAGGGGATCACTGTCCAAGACCCCTGCGGGAGCTGGGAAGAGGACCCAACCTCCCGACCCCAGCGCAGCACCCAGTCCTCAGAGCTGCAGCCTCTTCCAACAGCTCTTACCAACACAGAGACATAGATATTTTGATTCCCCCCCAAAATACATCTCTCATATCCTTCAGAGACTGAGCCCAGGGGCTTTGTAATCTAAAGCAGAAAGCTTGCAGACTTGGTCTCCCTTCACTGAGGACACAGCAGAACCAACCCTTAGATACACAGGCTACCACGAGCACAGGGGACCAGGTGCCTAGTGCAAGGGTTAAGGGTGCAGAGGCTGCTCAGAAAACCACAAAACCTTCGTATTTTCATCCAAAATCTGCAGCACAAGTCCAGAGAACCGCCCTGGTGCCCGAATCATCACTTCCCAGGAGCTCAGGAGTAACTCTTACCTTTCCGAAATCCCGTACATCGAAGAGGTCAAAGGGATCAAACAGATCGCTGTTTCTTAACCCAAATTTGTCGTGACAGACTTTTAGGAAGGTTCGGATGTTCTTCAAACAGAGAAACTGGAGGAAACAAAAGAGAAAGGGAGGGAAAAAAGTGAGCAAGATGGGCACAAATTTTAACTGAGATTCACTGAGTTAAATTCACATGCGAGACGAGTTAACAGGGACTCGGCAGCTTGCACTGAAAAGCCAGGCATTAGTTTATTTGTTGATGCTGAAGATGTCAGGCTCCCGGTGCCCTGCGAGGACTCCTGTGTTCTCAGCTGCGCACCGGGAGCAAACGCCCTTTGGAAAAACAAGTTTCACACAAGGTAACATTGCAGAAGGACTGGAAAACTCCAGCCAGCACGTTTCCCTTTCAAGGTCAAAGCCAAATATAAATTACAACTGATGTTCTACAGAAGCCCGGTGTTGAACTTTTAACCCTTTCCAGTGCTATCCCGTTTGGTCCTCCGCAGAAGGGACACACGTTACAGCGTGGTCGTACGCATTGCTGGGCATCCGTATGCACGCATCCCAAACAAAAGACCGGGACATCGAAAACAAGGGCAAATCCCCAGGACCATTTCCACGAAGCTGTGCTCATCTTTAATCTTAGCCCAGGTGAATAGGCAGAAATCTCCCCTGCCCAGGGACCACCCTCGGATATTCAGATAGCCCAACTGGCAGAGCAACACGATGTTTCTCTCTCAAGAAAATCCCGTCTTTGACTACAGCAACAATTGGTCGCTTGCTTGCAAGCATCGGGGATTTTGAAGTCTGGGGACTCCAGACGGTCTCGCTCCAGCGGTGACGCCTGGCAGCACGCCGGCTGAGAAGACTAAAAATCTGATTCATTTTTGCCGCGGCATCACCTACGTCCTTCACCAGGATCGACTGACTCTGCTGAGCAAGCCAATTCATTTCACTTCCTTCTGCACCCTCACGCTATTCCACAAAGCACCTTCAATTATTGCTGTGTTTTTACACAACTCTTCTTTTTCTCAGCAAATTCCTCAGAAATATGCAACATACGTGTTAGAATTATAGGTAAATGAACCCACTAAAGGGGCGAATCATCCCCACGTGATGGGCAGGCGCGGGACGCAAGCGGCCTTCGGGTGGGTTGGGTCAGCGCGGTTTTGTCACAGGGCACCATCTCTGCTCCCCGGGCTGTCACCGAACCAACACCACGCAAAACCACTCCTGATAGACTTCACCGAGAGTTCAAAGCAAAAACAAATACCTTCATTTTCTTTTAATTGAAAGAATCAAAAGCAATGGTTTTGGGGCCATCATATCTCCATAGTTATAACAGATGTAGCCTGTTGGTATCATCGCATTTGGGATTACACGTGAGGTTCATGGTGATGGATTAGCGAGACCACCTCATTAACGACAGGCTGATTCACCTACCCAAAAACACCCCTACGAACCTTTCACCCTTCTGGCCCGTTCCAGCCCCCCCGCACAGAGCACCAGCAGAGCTCCCCCAGCACAGGACATTCCCAGCCCATCAGAGCCTTCTCATTAGACAAGCGAGTGCCGCAGGCAGAAATTGAAAACAATTCTGTTTTTCTAGGGCATTCCTCTATCTCACATAAACACTGCAGTAAATATAATCTGTCTAGACTGAGAGGGCTTTTTGGAATTGTTTTACAACCTCTCTCACCAACACAGGTTATTTCATAACTTTATCTTCTGGGTCTCTGCAAGAATTTACGCCCTGGGCAAACTGGCGGCTTGCAGCAGGGGTGCATTTTCCCTTGCACTGCAGTCCCATTGATTTCAAATTTCTAGCACGTGTTTGTTTTAAACCCTTTTAAGCCTCCAGTTTTGAAAGTTAACGACATAGGTTACAGCCATCATTACACACAGCAAGCAGAGCAGCGAAGGCTGACGTGCTGAGGAGAAGCAGACTTCCACCGCGCCGACGCTCAGCCACGCGAAAGCCACCCGACGGGTGCGAAAACCCGAACCCTCTGCACGACGCGTTCACGGTTCAGACCCCTGAAAAGCTCAGAGTTCACGCTAACGCGTTTCTGAAGGATTGCGGAGAGATCACACATCCAAGCGACCGAACGCCTCGTCTTGACAGCGTTCCTAACGGGGAGCAAGCCCTGGCTCCACCACGGGTTTACACCGGGCTGGGCTACCCCCGTCTCAGCTTGGCCCCGGTGAGAAAGGACAGGGCCAACCACGCTGGTCAACATCAGCTGTATCTGATTGTCTTTGCTCATTCAATTCAGCTCTGGGAGCCACCTCGCCACCAGCTGCTAAATGAGCACAAGGTGCCTGCAGCTTCCCGAGGTGATGCCTGCAAAAAGCCACCGCTCTGTCACCGAGTGCAGACAGATGACAAGCATCAAGGAAGCCTCCGATAATTTATTTAAAGAGTGGCTGAAAAGGCCTGATGTGAAACACAACAAACCGAGGCAGCAGCACCACGGTCCCGCTCCACCAGCAAGGAGCTGGCAGCAGAGCGAGGACACCACGTAGCCCACAAGCAAAGCCACCACTTGAGGTGACAAGCGTGCGAGTAGTGTACAACCCACGGGTGGGTGTTAGCGGCACAATTTGCTCCTGTCCTGCTTCTCTCTCACCAACCTGCAAAACGCCGCCTCACGCTTTTGCTCACAGGCATTTCGAGGCTGGTTTGCTGCTGATGGAAGATCAGGAATTATTGGCTTGATGGTGTTACTCAATGGCCACACGTTAAAATTAGCTACAGTTGAGTTTGAGCTGTGCCAAGGCCATTTTGTTTACCAGTCAATCACACCTTTGAACGAGTAAACACTCCACAGGAGAAAGAGAGAGAGAGACAAATCAATATTCTCCATGGGGCTCATTCACCACCTGCCAGGCCCAAAATCAATGGTGTCATTTATCCGCTTCGAGCGAGACCGGCGCTGAAGCAGGGTCCTGCAATCTCCTTCAACGCGAGGGCCGGCCTGACCCCGAGCACCGCACCTCCCGAGCCCCGCCATCACCCTCCTCCGCACCCAAAGCAACCTCGGCACCCAAAGCCCATCGCTTCTGGGCACAGCCACCACCAGCAACCAGGATGCGCAGTTCTGGAAGCAGACCCCAGAGACCACGACACCTCCCACCGTACCGCCAGCCAGGCTCCAAAGCAGCCATGGCACAAAGCCTCGGCGTGGGCAGAGCTCCCGGGCACAGCGAAGCCCACCCAAGGCGCTTTGGAGGGGGAAGCTATGAACGCCAGAGCAAAGAGGCAATGGAGGCTGGGATGGGACTGTACCACAGGGAGCAGGAATCTGATCCCGTAAAACAAACCACCTTGAAGCTTGCCAGTAGATGAGAAAAGTCTGTGGTCATCTCTGACCCAATCCTCCGCAACGTCGTAAGGTGAATGAACTGCTCTCGGCCACCGCCCGTCCTGCCCCAGCCTGGCAGCAGCCATCTTTGCACAGCGGGGCGGCTGCGATCTTGGCTGCTCCCCTGTGTCCTCACCCCAGCAGGGCCACGGCCACCCCAGCACCGGGGACACGCTGGAACCTCCTCAGCATCTCCTAGGGTGCTCTTTGTTTAAAGAGGGTTTTCATGACATGGAATCACAGGATGGTGGGGGTTGGCAGGCCCCCCCCCCCCCCCCCCCCTGCCGAAGCAGGGTCACCCACAGCAGGCTGCACAGCACCGCGTCCAGGCGGGTCTGGAATTCTCCAGAGAAGGAGACTCCACAACCTCCCTGGGCAGCCTGTTCCAGGGCTCCGTCACCCTCGGAGTGAAGAAGTTCTTCCTCATGTTCAGAAGGAACTTCCTCTGCTTCAGTTTGTTATTTTTATGTTATTTGTTTTCCTGATTTCAGTAAGTTCAGAGGCTCCGTGGATGATTGCTGCGTGTATAAAGGGGACTGCTGCCAAGTTTTCGACGCAGCTCAAGAACTTGTCCTGCAAACTTAGAAACACATTGGAGAAACCTTCTGCGGAGATCGAGTAAGGGACAGTGTGGGACCTGGGATAACCCCCGACACTTGGGGGAACCCCACTTTGCACAGGGAGGTGCCCAGCCCCCCCAAGCTCCTCTCCCGCATCCCGAGCGGGAAGCCGGGATGTTTCTGCAGCCGGAAAGCACAGCTCCGGGGGCAGGAGGGGAGCCCACGGCACGGCTGCTCGCACCTCGCCCCTCCGCGCACCCCCGTTTCAGTCACCACCGCCCCTCGGTGGGAAGGCCCCCCAGCAGAGCCGTTCTGCTGCAGGGAGACGGCAAAGGGGCAGACAAAAAGCCGGGAAAAGCAGCAGCGTTTGCTCAACCACCAAACCACCCAAGGTGGGATCTGGAGGACGCTCACGTGGGCATTGGAGCAGTCCCCGGTCCCGGTATTTGGGACGGCACAAGGGAGGGAGGTGCAAGGCTTGGCGGGGGTCTATAAAAGACATTTAATAACGAGATAAAATGTGGGGAGAGGGAAGAAAAGGGTTTGTGCAGCAGGGCAGGATCACGCAGCAGCTCGCAGCTTTTTGGAAAGGGCCTCCTGGAGAGGCAGCGATGCCGGCGGCTGGGGTCAGCGCTCCGGGGAGGAGCGGGGCCGCACACCACAGCTCCGGGCAGGCGGCCACGTGCTGAACCCCGGCCAGAGCCGTGGGCTCGAAATGGGCCCTGCAGCACGCAAGGAATGCTGCGGCTTTGCCGTTTGAGATAAGCCATTGACGAATGACGAAAGTGACTTTCTTTAGCGCTTCCTGACCGTGATGTCAGATTTCCTCTTATCTCGCTGCCGGCACGGCTCGAAAGCACCAGGCGAAAAGTCCTCAGCAGGGAGCTGTGGGCATCTGCTTATCACAGCCTTCACGAACGGGGAAGGGAGGGTCTCTCCCTGAGAGCACAACTCACCTGCAAAGATCAGTTGGGAAATGCGTATCCTATGGTACAAACTTCTCAAGAAAGCCAAAGGACGTGTTTCCAAGCTGTGCTGAGTTCCCCCTGCACTACTCAGACGTTGCAAAGCTGCCTTTGCTTGCTCCAGAGAGAAAATCCAAGAGCACCCAAGTACCCAGCAGG